TTCTGAAATTCAGGTGGTATGAAATCAAAGTCATATTTTGGCTCCTGTGGATTTGGTTTAATTTTCCTCAGCTTCAGCTTGAACTTGCATATGAGTAATTAGTGGTCTGTTCCACAGTCGCCCCCGGCCTAGTTTTCACAGGTGATATTGAGCTTCTCCAGCGGTTCCTTCCACAGATGTAGTCGATCTGATTCCTATGCATACCATCAGTGATTAGGTATTATTGTCATGACAGGAGTCCAGAATGAAGTGGAGTGGATTTGGGGAGGGATTGTATAACAGTGAAAGAATTTTTTTTCTTTTACTTTTCAAAGAGAAGAGCAAACGGGGTGGGGGTGGACAGGGAGAAAAGTGCAACAATGAATAAATGAAAATCCAAAGTCTGTAAACGTCCATTAAAATTAATAATAATGAAAAATTAAGGAATTAATCTAAATTCTATAGCTAATTCTTTTAATGTGCCCATTATGTAGGTAGAATGCATACCATAAGCAACTCTAGCTTGCTTTAATTCTTTTATTAGTCTTAAAGGAATGACTGATGTTGATACAATTGATGCCTTTGGAGATAATCTTGATCAGGAGGCATATCCTGAATTGTTACTAGAAATACAGAAGCTTCTTGCTTTACCTGTTGCAAGGCCCGAGTTATAGCTTTTAAAAGCTTCTTAAAAGTAGTTACTCCCAACAGAGCATGATTCATATAATTAAATAACATAGAATGTGGAACAGTTGCTGATGCTGAAGCTGTATTTTTACTTTAGCAGTATATTTAATTATGAGAACCCAGTTTGTCTGCTGGAAAGTTCTAAAACTTGTGTACTTAATTTCTCCTAAGGACTGTCATCTTTGATTATATTGCTTAATTCTTCTGGAGTTGGATGTAGAGGAAATTCATCCTCCTTTGTATCAGATTCACTATCATCTTCCTTTGAAGAGGATTTCTCTTGTAACTTTTCAGACATCTCCTCTTCAGACTAATAATTTTAAAGCTAAGGAGATAAAATCACATAGTGACCAAACCAAAACAGGAATCGCGTCTCCCTTTTGATGAGCTCTTTCTAAAGGTAATAAAGGTGGTTTCTTACCTTTAGCTTTAACCTCCTTTAATGTAATATCACTTAATTCAGATTCGTGCAAAGATTCAGCCATCTTTCTTTGCAATTTTTTTGGATTATGAGTACAATCCTGCACAGACTTTTTTACTATTCTTTTCAAAGCCCTTACTGGCCAAAAATTAGTAAAAGTCTGTTCTTTTTGTTTGATGTGCTTTTTGTAAAGCTTGTGCAACATTTTGCCAAGTTTTTAAATTTAACTGCACTTTAATTACTGATTTAAACTGATTTCTGCTCATACTGAAACAACTGCAAAAATGACCTCTTAATTTTACCCCTGAGCTCTTAAGAAATTCTTTAAGTAATGTAATATATTGATCTTCAGAGGATTGGTGGTTCCCTGGGGCTCGTTTATCAGTTCTACCTCTGAGTTTTTAATCTGTGTGGGGAAAGTCCTCAGGCAATTTTTTCTACTTTCCCCTACTTCTACCCTTAACTTCCTAGCAAGTCAAAGTTTGAGAATTATTTCATGACCTGCCTTTAATTTTCCCTAAAGTTTCACTTACCCTGAGCAAATTCCCTTTCGGTTTCCTAGTGTCTGTATGAGAGAGAGAGAGAGACCACCACTTACTTCATCCCTGGTCAGGCACCAGAATGTTGTCCACTGAGGGTAAAGAATTTAAAAAAAAATGAGAACACCAAGAATGTATAAGTAAGCAGGTAAAGCAGGGGACAAGCAGTTCAAACAACTGAAGCACATCGCTGAACCCAGCTTTCCTGTGCCTTTCTTGAAAATTGCCACGGAGCAAATCACAAAGAAAATGCTATGCAAATGAAGCTAAGCTCTTTCTGTTGAAAACCTTATACTTGATTCAGGAGGTAGGGGTTAGCAAATACAGTGCAAGAATTGTGTAACTGCTTAAGGTCTGCCTTAGTGCTTACCCCTTGTGAACACCTAAGGTCTGCCTTAGGTGCTTCAAGGTGAATTCCAGCTTGTATCCATGCCTCCCTCATGTACTAATAAAGCATTTGGTTTATTATAAATACTTAGTATGAAATTTGGCTTACCACACTGAATATTGCACTAGAACACTGAGAAGCCATAGCAAAGGGAAGAAATCAGTTAACCGAACAGAAGATTTAAAAGGGCAGCTCAGAAAAACAAAGTGTTGTAACAAAATGTCATAGAGCTAGAGTCAGAAAATCAAGAGACAAATAGCTCAGCGTTTCTCAAGCTGGAGGAACTGAAGAACAAACTAAAACCTCAAGTTACAATACTTAAGATGCTGTGGGTAGAATATTGAATGGTCTAGGAAACATCAAAAGAAGATGGGAGGAGTACACATAGTCATCGTATCAAGAAGAATTTGCTAACAGAAAAATTTCATGGAACAACATAGGACCAAGAGGCAATGGTGATGAAGGAGGAAGGTTAAGCTGCTCTGAAGAATTTGGCAAAATTAAGGCCCCAGGACTTAATGGAATACCCATTGATGTATTTAACAAACAGATGCTGCCCTGGGCATGCTCAAATTGTGCCAAGAAATCTGGAAACCTTACTGTCAAATTGACTGGAAGAGATCCATATTTACTCCCATTTCCAAAAAAGGTGATCCATCAGAGTGTGGAAATTATCAAACAGTATCACTAAGATCACATGCAAGTAAAATCTTGCTGAAGATTTTCCCAAAACCTTTATACATTGACACAGAGCTGCCATAAATACGAGCTGGGTTTAGAAGAGGCCATGGCACTAGGGACATAATTGCCAGTTGTCAGATGGCTCTTGGCTGAAAGTAGAGAGTACTGTGTTTCATTGTCTCTGCAAAGGCGTTTGAATATGGAGATCACAACAAATTGTGGCTAACTCTGAGTAGAATGGGAATCCGAAAACATCTCATTGTACTCACGTGAAACCTATACTTAGACCAGGAAGCAGTCATCTAAACAGAGAAAGGAAATACTCTGTGGTTCAAAAATTGAGAAAGTAGCACATCAGGGATGGTCCTTTCTCTATCTTTTCAAACTATACAGAACAGATCATCTGGGAAGCTGGAGTTTATGAGGAAGAATGTGGCATCAGTATTGGAGAAAGATTCATCAACAACCTGCATTACAACGATAACACATTTTTCTTGCTGAAACTGAGGAGGACCTGAAACGCTTCCTGCAGAAGGTCAATGACTGCAGTCTTCACTATGGATTGCATCTCAGCATCAGAAAAAAAAACAGAGATTCTCACCACTGGGCCAGTTGGCATCATCATGACAGATGAGAAAAGAGATTGAGATTGTTAACAGTTTCATCTTGCTTGGTTCCACATTCAACACTCTTGGCACCAGCAGTCAGAAAAACAACAAGTTACTTTGGGAAGTTTGCTTTCAGGGACCCCTCCATAGTGCTGAAGAACGATGATGTCTGTCTGGAGACTAAAGTGTGCCTGATCCAGGCCATCGTCTTCTCAATTACTTGTTATGCTTCAGGAGCTGGACAGTAATATAATCATTGCCTTTGAGTTGTGGTGAAGAGTATTGACCATACCATAGAGTGTCAAGAGTATAAACAGATCTGTCCTGGAGAGGGTTGATCCTTGCCTTGGAGGCAAGGATTTTGAAGCTCTGTCTCCTATACTTTAAGCATGATACCAGGAGGGACCAGTCCTTAGAGAAGGACTTAATGCTTGGAAGAGTGGAGGGACAGCATAGGAGAGGAAGACTTTGGATAAATGAATTGACACAGTGACTACACTAAGGGGGGCCGTGTGTGTTGGGAACAGTGTTTAAGACTATTGGTCAAGACATAATAGCGTTCAGAGCTGTTTTCCATAAGGCTGCTATGAGTCACAGTTGACTTGACAGCATTTAACAGCAGCAACACACCTAATGAGTCCCACGTTGTAGGGGAGAGTCATAGCTTCAAACATTGGCGGCCCACAAGGCAGAGGGCTGTAACAGATACCAGTGCTCAGCAGATGTGAGATGAATGTGGATACAGGAAGAAGCAGAGGATCATGCACATATATTGAAAGTAGAACCCAGAGTTTGATGACACATTGCATGTGGATATAAGAGAAGTGGTTGAGAAGAGCCTATAGTGGGAGCTTTACCTGTGGTGGGAAAACTATAGGAAGCAAGTGAGGTGGAGTTGAGCCTGGATGTCATACTGTTTGTTGTCTACCAGACATCCAAATGGAGACAGTGAATGAGCAGTTGAATATATCCATCTGGAATTTGAACACACTATGATGACATTCTCTTATCTCCTTCCAGGCCTGCAGCTCTCTGCAGACATGGCCAGCCTCCAGATCCGCATCAGCTGGAATCAAAGACAGTTCCAGGAACTCCAAGAGAAACTCAAACAACTTGAACCTGGTCCTGCCTGATTTGCATCCAGATTTAGCCACGTGCACAGCTATTCTCAGACATGGTTACCTTACATCAGGCCTTTTTCCTTTATAGATTCCACTTAAGCTCCAAATATTCCCTGATCTTTGATGTTTTCAACTTTTTTAAATGTGAAAGTTAAAAGCACTGCTTTAAAACCACTTCTTGTCCCATATCTCATATGATATACTCAGTAGGGCAAGTGCAGGGCTCTTCATCTGTATGAAGAGAAGCAGCTTCCTGGATAAATCAGCTGCTGACAGAATAAATGTTTTGAGTTCAGTAGTTTATTAAAATTTATGTAAAGACAAAGTCATGTAAAATTAACAAAGTAAGACAATGTAATAGTAATAAACAAAAATACCTGAGTAGATGGGCAACCCTTGGCTTTAAGCTTTGAAGTAAAAAAGCTCTAACTTGGGTTTGGGGTGGGGGGGTTTATTAATGTTAATGAAAATTTACAGAGACTTTGGATTTCCATTCATTCATTCTTGCACTTTTCTCACTGCCCACCCTTCCCCCGCTCCAGTACACTTTTCTCTTTGAAAAGTAAAAGTTCCCTCATTGTTGTACAGTTCCTCCCCCCAGGGTTTTTACTCCATATACAAAAACCAACTCAAGGTGGATCATGGACCTAGGACTAAAACCAAAGACTATAAACGTCATTAAAGAAAAGCTTGGAAGAACTTTAGTAGTCCTAATCCACAACATAAACAGTCTTCCAAGAATCCTGAAAAATCTACAACCAGGAGAAGATAAAATAGATGAATGGGACCTTCTAAGAATCAAATCCCTATGCACATCCCAAAACTTATACAACAGGGTAAAAAGGGAAGCTACAGACTGGGAAAAAATGTGTGGTAATGACATGTCAGAAAAGGGACTTATATCTAGAAATTGTAAAATACTTGAGTACCACAACAATATAAAGGTTTTTAAAGGAACTCTATGAAGAAACTTTTTTAATATCTTGTTCATCAGAAATGAGATGTAGTATCCTTTTATAGGTTACCTGTTTTAAAACCTTCATATTTCTTTTTAGGTATTTCCTAGAAGCGTTGGGGAAAATTAGTTCTTTGTTCCTGAAACAACTATATTTCCCAAGTTTTTGGGTGTTGGGGCTTTTTCCTGTGGTATTTTTTAAGAATATTTTTTCTTTGTTGTGAAATAAAACATAAAAACATTGCAGAACAGTTATGTACCATCTAGAGAATGTGGAAACAGCCCAAATGTTCAACCATAATGGAATGGATTGAAAAATTATGGTACATTCATACAATGGAATATTCTGCAGCATGCAGGAGCAATTATTCTGTAAATTACTACCTAATTTGGAAGTGAACTCAGTCTCATAAGGACAAATACTATATAAGACCATGATTGTAGAGATAAATAACTAGTAAAACATGTATGAGAATCTAAGGGGTAGGAGCAGAGGGGTGAGGATGGAGGGCTAATCATAAGGTTGCACAATTTTATGAGTGGAGGGAGGAGTGGGTTAAGGAAACGGGAAAGATCTAGTGTGAAAAACAATGTATACAAACTTTGTAAGTAAACCAGTATAAAATAAAAATTTATTTTAAAAGACCAATATTGCAGGACAATTGAAAAGCTTAATAAATTACTAAGGTGAACACTAGTAACACCAAGCTCTTGTGTTTTTAAATCAAGCTTGCTTTGTGTTTGTTTAGATGTTAGATGCTATCAAGTCTTGTATGACTCATGGCAACTCTATGAACAACAGGTCTGTACCCTGCCCTATACTGTGCCACTGGGTGATTACACCAAGGATGTCATTCATGAAGAAAGGAAAAGATCATTAAAGAGGAAAGACAAAAGTAGACATTAGAAGAAACTAAAAATTGCATTAGAATGTTAAGCCAAAACAATAAATGCCAAAATAAAAAAAGATCTTAATATTCATGATACCTAGAAAGTTTACATCTAGTAACTCTTCCAAAATATTTTCAGTACCTTTCTTTGCTTCATCCTCTTCTGGAATTCCATTTATGTGCATGAGTTTACAGAAAGTTTGGGTATTCATTCATTCATTCATTCATGCACATTTTCTTCCCTTCCACCTCCTCCAATTCATTTTGTAGTGCACTTCTTGTTCCAAATTGTTGACATAATTTTTAATCATACATTTAGGGCAAAACATTCTCAAGAATGGATTATATTTTAGGTCACAAAGTAAGCCTCAGTAAATTAAAAAACATCAGAGTAACACAAAACATTCTCTCAAACCACAATACTATAAAATTAGAAATGAACAAGAGTTGATAAAGGAGAAAAAAAAAGCCCATGCATTCGGAAGCTAAATAAGTTCTTCCTTGAACATGAATGGGTAATAATTGTTGTTATTGTTTGGTGCCATCGAGTTGAGTATGGCTCATAGCAACTTGATGAACAAAAGGTCTGCACCCTGTTCTTTTCTGTGCTGTCCTCACGCTTCCTAACACACAAGAGCCCATTGTAGCAGTCACCGTATCAGTCCACCAGGTTGAGGGTTGTCCTCTCCTTTGCCAGCCTTTCACCCTTCCCAGCATCATGTCCTTCTTCAAAGAATAGCCCCTCCTAGCAACATGCCCGAAGTATGTGAGGCAAAGCCTCATCATTCTTGCTTCCAAAGAGCTCTCCAGCTGCATCCTCTGCAAGACAAAGCTGTTTGTTCTCATGGCCATCCATGGGATGTTCAGTGCTCTTCTCCAACACCACAGCTCAAAGGCTTCAATTCTTCTGTCATCCTTCTTCATTGTTCAGCTCTCAGATGCATAGCAAGTAATCAGAAAGACTATGGCCTGAATCAGACAAACCTTAGTCCTTAAACTGGCATCATTATTCCCCAATAATTTGGAGAGGTCTCTAATTGCAGATTTTTCCAGTGCAATGTGTCTCCTTATTTCCTGATTGCTGGTACCAAGGGCATTAATTGTGGATCCAAGCAAGATCAAGCTGTTTACCGTTTCAGTCTTCTCCATCCATCATAACACTGCCTATCAGTCCAGTGGTAAGAATGTTTGTTTTCTTGACATTCAGATGCAATCCATACCAAAGGCTGCATTCCTTGATATTCTGCAACAAGTGCTTCAAGTCCTCCTCACTTTTAGCAAGCAGAATTGTGTCATCTGCATAATGCAGGTTATTGATGAGTCTCCCTCCAATCCTGTTGCCATACTCTTCTTCATAAGTATCTTCTTGGAAAATTTGCTCAACATACAGACTGAAAAGGTTTGGAGAGAGAAAAAATGGAAATGGATGTCAGAAAAGGTTCTATAAAGATTGCATTGGAGTGTTGAGAAGCCAAAACAAAAGGAAAAAAAACCTAAAAGAGCTGAACAGAAGATTTCAAAGGGCAGCTCACAAGACAAAGCAAAGTACTGTAATGGAATGTGCAGAGAGCTCTAATTGGAGAAGAAAAATGGAAGAACTCGCTCTGCATTTCTCAAGCTGAGAGAACCAAAAAACAAACTTAAGCCTCAAATCACAATATTGAAAGATGCTATGGGTGACCCAGAAAGCATCAAAAGAAGATGGAGGAAATACACAGAATCACTGTACCAGAAAAAAATTGATTGACACTGGAGAAATTTCAGGCAGTACGTATGAACAGGAGCCAGTGAGTGAGGAAATAGAAGCTGCATTGAAGGCATTGGCAAAAAATAAGGCCCTAGGAATCAATGGGATAACAATTATTTCAGTTAGCAAATATTCTGCAACAAGTGCTTCAAGTCCTCCTCACTTTTAGCAAGCAGGGTTGTGTCATCTGCATAATACAGATAATTGATGAGTCTCCTACCAATCCTGTTGCCATACTCCTCTTCATAAAGTGCATCTTCCTGGAAAATTTGCTTAACATACAGACTGAATAGGTTTGGAGTGAGGAAAAAATGGAAATGGATGTCAGAAAACACTATATAAAGATTGCACTGGAGTGTCGAGAAGCCAAAACAAAAAGAAGCAGCCTTGAGTCCACTCAACAGTCAATGCCAGGAAATTTGAAGGACAGCTGTCTGTCTGGCCAAATGGTTTGGAAGAGATCCATATTTGTTCCCGTTCCCAAGAAAGGTGATCCAACTGAATGTGGAAACTATCTAGCAATATCATTAATAACACATTCATGCAAAATACTGCTGAAGATAATTTAAAAATGGCCAGAACAGTACATAGATAGGGAACTTCCAGAAGTTCAAACAGGATTTGGAAGAGGCTGCGGGACCAGGAATATCATTGCTGATGTCAGCTGGATCTTGGCTAATGTAAGGAATACCAGAAGAATGTCTATTTGTGCTTTTATTGACTATGCAAAGGCATTTGACCATGTGGATCATAACAAGTTGTGGCTGAAATTGATAAGAATGGGAATCCCAGAGCACTTAATTGTACTCATGTGGAACCTATACCTGGACCAGGAGGCTGTTGTATGAACAGGGCAGGGGAGCACTGCATTGTTAAAAACTGAGAAGGGAGTGCATCAGGGTTGTATTTTCTGTTCTTTAGTAGGTAATAAAGAGAAAAAAAATTTGTTTTAAATAAAGTTTATTGGACATGTTGTAAGGAGGGACCATTCTTTGGAGAGGGACATCATGCTTGGGAGGGTGGAGGGACAATGCAGGAGAGGAAGGCCCTCTATGAGGTGGATTGATTCAGTGACTGTGGTAATCGAGATGGGTGTGTTGGAGAGAGTGTGATTGGTACAGGACAGAGCAGAGTTTAGGGCTGTTGTACATACAGTTGCCATGAGTTGCAAGCAACTCGACGGCACAGAACAACAACAAAGTTTAATGAAATAAATGAGAATTAAAACATAACTTACCAAAACATCTAGGATACAGCAAAAGAGGTACTTAAGAGATCAGTTCATAGCAATAAGCAAACACATCAGAAGAGAAGAAAGAATAAAAATCTCCTATTTAATAAAATATTTCCAACATGTTGGAAAAGAATATCAAGAAAGTTTAACACATTTAAAAGAAAAGAAATAATAAAAATTAGGGCT